ACTTTGCCGATTAACTTACTTTGCCGATTAATTACCGGAGTACCGGGAGCACCAGACGGGCAGCGCCCGCAGCGAGGGCCGGTGGGATTTGGGGAGTCCTGAGGGGGATGTTGTGGGGGCTCGGGAGGGGTTGGGGAGGCCCTGGGAGGTGTTCAGGGGGTCCCAGGGAGGGGTTTGGGGAGTCCGGGGCAGATGTTGGGGGTGATCCCGAGCCACCGTTTCACCCAGGTGGGGTCTTGGGGGGTCGGGGGGGGCAGCTGTGGGGGTCCCAGGGGTTACTCGAGGGCCTGAGGGGGAATGGGGAGGTTCCCTGGGGAGGGACTGGGAGCCCTGGGTTGCACTGGGGAGGGAGTGGGAGCACTGGCCGTGGTATAAATTGAGCACTGTAATCAAAAGAGGGTGGATTGCCAGTAAGTAATCAATTAATTTATTATGAGTAATTAAGCACAAGCTGGCTCATTCCCAACATCGAATAAACAAACACCTTTGCTGTTTATAAAGATAAAAAAGCCAAAGCTCCCAGGCTTTCTGTCCTGGGCAAAGGGCTGCTGATCCCTTTGGTCAGCCCCGGGCCACCGGTGCCGGCCCCCCCACCCCAAACCCCATACAAATGAAGATTCCTCCCAGGGAAAAGGGGCCAGCACAGAAAGCTCTGGCTGCCCATGGAGTGCCCAGGCGCTCGTGCCTGCCAGAGACGGCCCTTCCCAGCCAGAAAGAAAGGCCTGAGCCCCCCCGTCTCTCACCTGCCGTTGGTGCGCCACTCTCGGCACTACGCACCTCATCTGGAAAATAAAAAACAAAAATGCACAAGATAGAGGACTTCTATGTGTAAAATTGACATCTTTCATCCAACACCCAATACAACCTTCTTCCTCGGCTGCTTCAACTTGTCTCGGTCTGGGGTACATCGTGTCCACTTATCTGAAAAAACCACAAAAAACTAAGGGTTAGTCAGGTCAGCTGCATGGTCATCAAGACCTTAACCATTTAAAAAAACTCAATTCCACGGAGAGACTGAGAACTCTGACAGCAGCATACAAGAACACAAATGACAACCCAGCTTCAAGGCCCTGCTATCCCAGTACCATCAGCTCCACAACACTCAGCTCTAATGATTGCACGCGAGTTACGGACACCTGCTCCATCCGGCAGGACTGTACAGCCATTGGCTCCACTGTCTAAGGTAACTGACATGTTGATGTGAGACTCTGAGCAATATTCCATCTACCCCCTGATCCACGTAGCAGGGCAGAGCAGTTCCAGGCTGACCCCCAGTGAGACATCCTGTACCCGTGACAACACAGACCCTGTGACACAATTAAGAGACAAACCTTGCTTTGACAAGATTTGATTGCAAGAATGGAGATGCTGTGGAACACTGTGACGTACAGGACTACTGTGATAATGTGACTGGGCTCAAAGGATCCTGACAAATAAAGACACTAACGAGATGACCGGTCATAAGAAGGGTCCATCAAAACCTTGAAGATGGATGAGCAACATCACCGCGTTCAGAAGCTAAGAATGAAATGATGTGGAAAAGGAGTCCTCCTGCTTTAGGATGGATGGCTGCGAAGCACCACTGATGATATGGCCTGGAATGAGGCCTTAAAAGAGGTCTGACTGAAAAAGTCAGAGATGGGATTCCAAAGAAGGCCTGAACCTGCAAAGGAAGCAACTGACAACTTCGGTACTCGGCTACGCGGAGAAGACCTTCAAGAACCTAAGGATGATGCCTGATGCTTCTCATGAGCCCCTCGAGGGCAAGATGCAAAAACCCTAAGGAAACGAAACATGGACGAGACAAAGGACATGACACAGACTGGAACTGCTCTGCCCTGCACACGTGAATCCAATGATACAAAGTAAGCCCTTCCTTTGATGTGTCCAAATATCCTGTTATAGGATACCCATTGCACTGTACTAACTTCAAAAATCCCTCTGGGCGATGCACATGCTTGGACTGACTCCCCACCCCTCTCTGGGTCTTTGCCCTGCACTTATCTTTCTGAGAGCCGGGGATGTGAATCCATCTTTGATGCAAAGGAGGGGCACCTGGGCTGGCTCAGAGGTTCCTGCCATCGTGAGATCACTCGGAGTCAACTACGAGAAAGAAAACCATACACAATGTCTGAGTAGTGTGGCACGTGGCCCCAGCCCCAAAGATCCTCCTACTCACTGTCACTGAGGCGGGTCCTCGGGTCGCTGGCTCTGACCGGAGTTGGACAATATGCTGTCATCTTCTGGGATACCTGAGCGAGCGAGAGACAAAATTAGAGGGCATTTCTGAAGCTGCCATGGATCCCTGCTTCTCCTGCTGCCTCCCAGACTCACCTCCAATGCCTGGATGCTCTCAAAGGTTAGCTGGATGGCACCTGTGATCACTAAAGCTCAGTGCTTCGTTGCTCATCCTTTTAATACTCACAGATGGCAGACAAGGACAGCTCGAGAGGACCGAACCGTGCTCGTCACCTCATTGTGAGTTGGCTTCAGCCCTGTGAGGCTGCGTACATCTCCTGCAAAAAAACCCAGAGGCAAATGCCAGTACTGAGATACTGTCCAAGAATATGCTGCTCCCATGGCAGTTTCTGTCTGACACCCCTTGTCCGTGTCCTCTTACAGGCAGGGTCCCCGTCATGTTGGACTGCGCGTTAGAAGTCGGTGCACTGCCTGTAAAACAAAAAAACAAGTATGTACACAGATTCACCAGAAGTACACCACCTGCAAAAGAGGATCTAGTTCTGTCCTGCAGTCACTGCTCACCTTGCTCACTGGGCTCACCTTTCCTCTGGTGCCTATTGTCGACTGGGCCGGGGGCTCTGCATCTTAAAAAAAAAAAAAGAAAAAACAAAACTAAACCACCAAACCATCCAAAGGCCCAAAAATCACATCTTGGCTCTGACCTCACATGAAAACCCACCTTCTGACTGTGCTCCTCCGGCCTCTTTTCTGTTCAACTCTGCTTTACATCCAGTCCCTCTGACAAGGACAGCTGAAGACCATCAAACCTAACTGTCAGGTGGCTCCAGCACTCTGAGGCTGCACACATTCTCTGCAAAGTAA